ATAAAAATTTGTAACGCTTTATTTTCTACAACCGGTATATATATATATATATATATATATATATCTCGTTCTTATCAGGTTTGACATATTCGACCCTTTCTCTACTATCAACGGTGTTATTCCTGGTGCTGGCAACACACTTCAATGGCTGGAAGTTGGACCGACGATACGGCATGGTCCTAATGGTCTGGTACTTAATATTTATCGTGTTCGCATCGCTCTACGAACTCAATGTCTTCGGCGAGATGAATCCGCCAGTATGCCCTAGCAAGTTTTAATGTAAAGACGCCTCGTCCGTTTCCGACCTTTGCTTTGCTCAAACGTGGAATGATCGTCCGGAACAAGAACCGTTCCAGTCGATTAGTCCGCGAACGATGACGCACGCACGGTCGTAGATCATCGTAAATGCTCAGCGACCTCGTTCGTATGTCCCTTTCCCCTTCTTCCTACTTAATAATGAAAACAGCGAGAGATGAGCTTAGAAGGTAGCTGCATGTCGAAAAGAAGCACGATTTTTAGCTTGCTGCGAAATTGTTGAAGCGACCGTTTGAGATTTTAGATAAGAGCAAACGACTTATGTCGTTGAGCTTTTTTTCTTTTTAAGCTGTTATAGAGAATCTAGACAATATGTACTCGTGAGTACACAGGCATTGTATTCCATTGGTGCTATTGAAAGCGACAAAAAAAAAGAGTATTTTGCTTGCTTCCGTTCGATTAACGAGTCTCGATTTCTTACAATTGATTGAAAATACGGGAAATGAATTTTTCCAAGCAACTAAATTTTCGGACAGGCAATACGGCTATTAAGTTGTAATTATTATTAGATGACGTATTGATAATATCGGCAGTTATTTGCTAAAATCAGAAAATCGGCATTAAATCGACCGTCGCAAAGTTCCAAACTTCTCCAATCTTAACTCTTAGCCACAGACCTCATTGTACGTCGCGCGACTTATCCGAATTGATATAGAAAAGAAAATGTGATACGTTTTATATCCATATCGCGCAAATGCCTGAGTACCATGGAAGGGAAATGCGTCTTGACAATTAATCATTTTATATCCTAAACATTAGAGTAAAAAGAATCCAATAGAAGTACGGCTTGTTAGAATAGATCTTAGAAGCGTCATATCTGCGGCTAAATGTTAAGACTGTTAACGGTTCTGTGCGAATTGTCGAAAGTCAAAAGTATATCATTGTGTTACGAACATGAAATAATCGACAAAAGTGGGCGAGAGAACTCTCTCTGAAACTGTCGTCGCAACGTTAAGCGCGATCCTTATCCTATTATCTGACGTGATTTCGAAATACACTTATTCGTATATTTTAAAATATATTTTCTATCACGGGAGCGCGACGTATTGTGTAAAATATGAAATAAGAGAAAATAACTTCGCGTGTTTTTCAAGATGTGAGAGATATATCTTGGGATATATCTGTATATCGATATATACAGGTTGTAAGTTAATATTATATTTTGTCATATGACACGTGTTTCAAATTTTGATTGATTGTCTATAGAATAGAGAGATCTGAGAATCTCTCTATTCTGTAGCCAATTAACACGCTTGAAATACGAAGTCATATGATAAAAAAAAAGGAACAAATATAATATTAGCTGTACAAGCCAATTATGGTTTAATTCTTGTTTAATTGAAATGTGCTTTTGTTACCATTCAAGTGACCAGAAGAGACGAGACTTCGCGAGATCAAAGGAGATCCCGCGTTAGCGCGAGTGTAAATGTAAAATCACTTTTTTCCAAAAGAGAAGCAAACAAAAAAGAAAGAGAAAGATAATGTTTTGAAGCGCAACACGAAGAATAAATCGAAGAATAAATCATATTATTCCTGAGTAATCGAGACTTAATTCGAATTCTTTGACATCGATGATATGCGGAAACTTCGCGAGAACGATGGAGCAGGCGAAATTTTATTCGTGACCGAAAGAAACGGAGGAAGAAAGGGGGAGGGTGCGAGAGAATTGGTTCTCCACGAGGGCGAATGAGCGCTGAAAGTGACAATAATTAACGCAGCCTTATCCGATGAAAGTATCTACAACCAGCACTATTATACTGCGCGTTCCTTGAGACTGATTCGCGAAGGGATCACTTGTAAATGGGTGGACGGGTACAAGAGAAACACCTACAGTGTAATTCATTCACCTACAGTGTAATCAGCGTATATAATCAGTGTAATCACTTCCGCTTGCGGGATCCTTTGATCTTTCGAGCGCGCTGGAATCGACGATATCGATGACGAGCTGCGGAATCGCGTGACGGAATTCCCGCAGGAGTCACAAGAGATGGGTGTCGAAATTAAGAAAAAAAATTGACTCCGCATTCTTTGTATTCTAAATTAGCTGTGATTGGCCGAGAAGCAATAAAAAATCACATTAATATAAATTAAAATTTCAATAATATTAAATATACGAAGGCAGTTTGATAAATCAGTGATTTCGTTTTAATTTTTTTAAATCAAAATTCGACTTATTTTTTTAATATAATCTCCTTTTAAAAAGTCACTGAATTATCGAACTGCCTATGCGCGCATACAGTGGAGATACTAAAGATAAAAATATTGCCCAAGAGATATTCGAATTCAAATTACTTAACAAATAACTTGGATTAATACGAATGGATAGTCAATGTTTCTAAAAAAAAAATTATTTCATATATATTTCCCTAGTACACAATTATGGGCACAATATTGGCCCAGTATTGGCCCAGTATTGGTCCAATATCTCCAATACTTAATGAATATATTCAATAAATTGTTACTGTTAGAATTATATTTAAGAATCCTGCGAGCATTCTGTCGATACAGCTCGTTGGATTGCACCTTTAATAAATCGGCTATTTCCTCAATTGGATGATCGCGAATACGCAAGGATCGCGCAGACGCTTTAGTGTGATTATATAAATTTAGTATACGTATAATAAATATATATATATATATAACGTGAAGAGAGGCTTAGATCGTGTAATGACTATTGATCGTTCAACGTG